AGCGCCACTTTCGGTTTTCTGGTGGTTTATTGGAGATAAGTTTCACAGACTTTCCTGCCCTGGCTGGCTTTGAACCTCGATCCTCAGATCTCAGCCTCCTGAGTAGCTAGGATTACAGGCCTGAGCCACCGGCACCCGGCTCTTCCTTTACTTTTCTTAGTTTTGTGGTACATACAATGAATTCTTTTTTAAAAAATTGTTATTGTAAAGGTGAGGTAGGTGCAGAGGGATTATAGTTACATAAGTCAGCATGTGTACATTTCTTTTTGAACAGTATCACCTCTTCCTTCATTTTCTCTCAGTTGTCCCCTCCTGATCCCCTTCCCCAGCAAGTTATATACTTCATTTTCAACATAGTGTCCAATAAATTCTTGTCTGCATTGTCCCCCACCATCTCCCTTTCATTTGTTGTCCCCTATCCCCTGGCCCACCCTCCCTTAGATGGATTAAATAAGAAGCCATGAAAGTTCATCCCCTAGTAATTAGCACTTAGTGGGAAATCACTCAAAAGTTTTCGATTTAATTATACACATACATTGTACGTACACATCCTAAATATTAACATGTTGAAGTCTTGCATCTCTATTAAATTCTATCAGTGACAATTACTAACTCTGTTACATTAGTCCCCACAGATTAACTTTTCTAACTAGTAACTAGGACAAGATGATGTCACTGCTTAGAAGTTTCCATGGATGTAAAGCCTATATAATGCAGGTAGAACCATCAATGCACAGCTGCTGGTCCCAGCTTCTTCCTTCTTCCATGGTTCCCCTCTGAATGTGGAGGGGGATTATTCTACCAGAAACAACAAAGAATCATTTGCACCTAAAGTGTGAGCTTCAAAGGAAACAAGATGCTATAGACACATGATTTTCTGAATAATTAGGTAAGATTTTCTTTTAGAAGTGTCCTAGCCCTTACAAGTGATGTATTATAACTTTTAATCCACTATTCAACAGCACAATCTGAAAAAGTGCAAAAACCACTCTCATACCACAATTTCAGTTAACAAGAAATTAACCTCTCAAAATCTTACTGCATTTGCCTGCTTGGATATAGGGAAAGATTATGACAAATGTAGCTCTGAAATAGTACCTCTCTCCAAGAAGTGCCACCAGATGCATCTACTGTGACATTACCTTACCAAGAATGAAACCTTCAAGAACTTCAGGTTTTCACCCACCTTCTGGAGAAATCAAAGTCAATGAGACTATTTGACTTATACTATTTGTTATTGTTCTTTCTTAGTGGAAGATGATATTCTCAAGGTTGAAACTACATGACTGACAATCCAGTTACTTTGGGAGGTACTAAAAGAAACTACTCCAGGTGAGCTTTGGGACATTTTGGTTTTATTCTGATTCTACTCTTTAGCATTTCCCTTTTCTATTTTCCTGATGGAAGTATTTGCACAATATTCTTGACTAAAATACTAAATTTCTACTGTATTTGGACACAACTCCATTATTCAATTTCTCCCCTATGGCTCCACAAAAGTAGAAAAAAATGCAATGATGGAAAATGTTTGGTTAAAAATGTACCTATACTATGAGGAGGAAACAGAAGTTGTCTTTGCAGTATTAGTTCTCAATTTTCATATCTTTTTGTGTCTATGCACTTGAAATTTCCCACAATGAATTCAAACTAATTCCTAGCTTCACTCTTCTTCAACTTTACTGCATGAAAACAGTTCTAAATCACTAAACACTTAAAATACTTTTCGGAGCAAAAGCTTTAAGTGAATGAAGACATAGCAATAAAACCACCTGTATGAGGGAGATGAAGAGACTAATAAGCTATTTCTTCCTTTTTGTAGCAAGATCACCAATGCTCAGACTTTTATAGACAATATTAAAGTTCTCATCCAAAATAAGAAGTTGCCCAAAATTTCTAGGCTTGAACACAGTACTGCACTTTATTCATGTTAAATAATAGCTAAACATTTAGATGTGTGTGTGTCTGTTGTGTCATATTACAGCTTAAATTCAGAGCCTGGGCACTGTCTCTGAGCTTTTTCACTGAAGGCTTATACTCTACCACTTGAGCCATAGCTCCACTTCTAGCTTTTTAGTGCAAGTCTCACAGACTTTCTTGCCCTGGCTGGCTTTGAACCTCAATCCTCAGATCTCAGCCTCCTGAGCATCTAGGGTTACAGGCTCATGCCTGGGCTTACAAAATATATATAGCCACAAATCTGGTTTGCTGTTTTCTTGATTTGACACTGCAATTAGTCTAATGTAGATAGCAAAAATACCATTATTTGCCAAAGTGAAGCACATGAGACATTGGAAATAATTGAGAAGAGGAGAAGAGGTTGAGAGGAGAAGAGAAGCATTCTCTAGCCCCTTCATAAGTTGTGTGCACTTCATTCACTTTTCTGGCTGAGACTTTGACATGAAGAATGGTAGAAAACAACAGTATCCATAGTGGAAAGGAGGCAGCTTAGGATAATGAAGTCCAAGGAACAGAAACCGCCTGTTTGGGTGTGCACAAAGACAGCAGCATTAGGGGAGATTAGGGAAGAGAGCTCCAACCCCAATCTTACCCTAGAGCTGGCTCAGAATACATTGGAGAAGAAGAAACAGGTTACAAAAATACACTCCTCATTTACACTGACTACCACAAACATTCAAATGAGTGGAGTGCTCCAAGCCAGGACCAGAAGACAGAAGACCCGGGCTCTAGACGCAGCTGTGACTCCAATTCTATGTAACCTGGGCCAGTTGCATTATCTATGTGTCTCATTTTCTTTATTCATAAAAGTTCAAAGGCAAAAGATTATATAATCCCTTGAGTCTCTTCGAGGGCTAAAATCTTGTGATTTTAGCTTACTCCTGTTATAAAAATAAAGTAGTGAACAGGCACCAGTGTCTCATGCCTGTAATCCTAGCTAGTCAGAAGGCTGAGTTCCGATCATGACTCAAATCCAACCTTGGTAGAAGCGTCCATGACACTCATCTCCAATTGACCATCAAATGAACCTGAAAGTAGAACTGTGGCTCAAGTGGTAGAATACTAGTCTTAAGCAAAAAAAAAAAGTCTCCAGGACAGCACCCAGGCCCTGAGTTCAAGCCAAGAACTGGCACAAAAAAAATAATAATTTTTTAAAGTAGTACTGCTTGGACTTAGGCTAACCTGAAAGAAAAAGGTAACAATTTCTATTGCTTTACTTGTGGACCAGTAAGCCAGACAAAAATGAGAACTTGAAAACAGCTGGAGATAATGTAGTCAGGGCAGTAATGCTATGAGTGTGGAACTTGACTTCCATTTGAAGACTGAGCAAACCTGCATTTAGATGAAGGCTGAGAAGATGCAAGCTTCCTTAAGTCTTTCAGATCTTCTAAGTCTTCTAGGGTTTTATCCAATCTTCTCCAAAGAATTGTTCAAAAATCATCATAGCCACATTACTAGAGAAAGCTGAAGAAAGCTGCTGAAAAGAGAAATTGCATCCAGACACTGATTTTTCACACTTATAATCTTAGCTATTAAAGAAGTTGAGATTTGAGAATTGAAGTTCAAAGCCAACCCACAGAGAAAATTCCTTGAGACTCTTATCTCCAATTAGACAACTAAAAGCCAGAAGTAGAGGCATGGCTCAAGTAGTAGAGGGCTCAGCCTTTAACAAAAAAGCTAAAGGAGAACACCGTGCCTCTGAGTTCAAAGAGAGAGGGGAGGGGGGAAGGGAGGGAGAGAGGGGGAAGGGAGGGAGAGATCATGGGAATTATAATCTCAAGCACCTTGGCAAAGTCAACAAGGAGCAAATAGATTGGATTAGTGAAAAGCACAGTCAACTATGCTCAAAGTCCAGTTTTGGGGTACCTGGGAGAAATTACTTATTCAAGGTAAGAAGAACCTAAATATCTTCTATACAAGTCTAGAACTTAAATCTAAACACTAATGTATTACTACAATAAATGAGAAATAGACTAGCATCTCCCTCTTCAAGGAGTATTTCTTAGTGAGTTAAGATCTTCTATTATATTATTTCAAAAGTAAGTGTTTGCAATTAAAAAAAAAAAAAAAGAACCTCGGGGAAGGGAAGGAGGGAAGGGATGGTAGGGGGAAAACAATGGAGGGGGTAACAATGCTCAATAGGAAGTGTACTCATTACCTCACTCATGTAACTGTAACCCTCTGTATAGTATCTTTACAATAAAAAATTAAAAAAAGAAAAAGTAAGTGTTTGGCACCAACCATGCACCCATCATGATTTTAGATACTGAATGGGAATTTTAAAAAGAAACAGAGAACTGGGCACTCGTGGGTAATGCCGCCTATAAATCCTAGCTAACTATGCAGGAGTCTGAGGTTTCAGGATTGCAAAGCCCGCCCAGCCAGAAAAATCCTTGAGGTTCTTATGGCCAATTAACCACAAAAAGCTAGAAGTGGAGCTGTGACTCAAGTGGTAGTCATAGCTTTGAGCACAAAAGTTCAGGGACAAGTACCTAGGCCCAGAGTTTAAGCCCCAGGACAGGAAGGAAGGAAGGAAGGAAGGAAGGAAGGAAGGAAGGAAGGAAGGAAGGAAGGAAGGAGGAAGGAAGGAAGGAAGGAAGGAAGGAAGGAAGGAAGGAAGGAAGGAAGGAAGGAAGGAAGGAAGGAAGGAAGGAAGGAAGGAAGGAAGGAAATGGGAGAGAGGGAAAGAAGCAAGAGAGAAAGAGCGAGGAAAAAAGAGAAAAAGGAAGGAAGGAAGACAAGGCAAGAGCTATAGGTCAGTGGTAGAGCAAGTGGTTGACAGGTGTGAGCTAGCATCAAATCCAACACCAGAAAAAAGTAGGAGAGAGCTAGAGGAGAGAAGGGAGAGGAGATAACAGAGGAAAGAAGGAGAAGGGAGGGGAAAGAGGGGAAGAGAGGAGAGGGGAAAGAAGACAATGTATTTGACCAGATTTTTAGACAAAAACTATAACACATCAGAAATTAAATGAAAAATCATGAAAGCAGATGGTGTTATATTTGGTGTTTTGTTTTCTAATTCTTGTCAGGAGTGTCTAACAAAGAGAATGGAAGAAGCTATCCTATTCAACCAAACTTCTTCAGTGACATACTTTCGGCTAAGAGGTTTATCTGTAAATCAGAAGGTGCAAGTGGGCATGTTTTCTTTATTCCTCACTTTCTATGTCCTGACACTGATCGGCAACATCCTCATCGTCATCACTATCATTTATGACCGCCGACTCCATACCCCCATGTATTTCTTCCTCAGCAATCTGTCCTTTATTGATGTCTGCCACTCCACTGTTACTGTCCCCAAAATGCTAGGAGATACCTGGTCAGAGGAGAAGCTCATCTCCTTTAATGCCTGCGTGACCCAGATGTTCTTTCTGCACCTCTTTGCCTGCACAGAGATCTTCCTCCTGACCATCATGGCCTATGACCGGTATGTAGCCATTTGTAAACCCCTCCAGTACATGACAGTGATGAACTGGAAGGTATGTGTGCTTCTGGCTGTGGCTCTCTGGACAGGAGGAGCCATCCACTCCATATCTCTCACCTCACTCACCATTAATCTACCCTACTGTGGTCCCAATGAGATTGACAACTTTTTTTGTGATGTCCCTCAGGTGATCAACCTGGCCTGCACTGATACCCACATTATTGAGATCCTTATTGTGTCCAACAGTGGGCTGATCTCTGTGGTCTGTTTTGTGGTCCTTGTAGTATCCTATGCGGTCATCCTGGTGAGCCTGAGACAGCAGATCTTTGAGGGCAAGCGGAAGGCCCTGTCCACCTGTGCCGCCCACCTCACTGTGGTCACACTCTTCCTGGGACACTGTATCTTCATCTATTCCCGCCCATCCACCAGTCTCCCAGAGGACAAAGTGGTGTCGGTGTTTTTTACTGCTGTCACCCCTCTGTTGAACCCCATCATCTATACCCTCAGGAATGAAGACATGAAGAATGCTTTGAACAAGCTAATGGGGAGAAAGGAGAGGAAAGAAGATATCTGATAACATCTCAGTCTTCAGCCTGCTTAGAGATATTTTGGTGCTCCAAATCCAAGAAATGCCTTGCCAAGAAGTTATATACCATATTTACAACATAAATTATCCTCTGGCCCATTAACTTTCTTTTTTCCCTGTGCTGGGGATTGAATCTGGGGTTGTAGTTCTAGAGATTGATTCTAGAGATTGATCATGTTCTCACTGATAGCTTAGGAAGTCCCAAGTATGATTCAGTGCGACACCTTCACTAGTGAAGGCAGAGTGAACGGATGATATCTAGCATGCCTTTTTGGAAATACATATATGAGACACTTGTGAGGGGAGGGACCGCAGTGTGGATTGAACTCAGGTCCTTGTATCTTGCTTGCCTTTTTCACTCAAAGTTAGTATTCTACCACTTTAGCTACACTTCCACTTCTGGCTTTTTGCTAATTAATTGGAGATCAGAGTCTTACTGACTTCTCTGCCAAGGCTGGCTTCAAACCTTGATCCTCAGTTCTCAGCCTCCTGAAGTAGCTATGAGTATAGGCATTAGATACCAGTACCTAGCTAGGCTCTCTTTATTTTGTTTTCCCAGACCACTCAATAGAAGCCACTATACTGAAGTATGCACCACCATAACTAAATTCAAGAAGTTGGATTATAAACCTTGTTTTATTCAAATTGGTGTTTTCTCCCACCACGTAGCCCAATATAGGTAACTTGTCATGATTGAGTAATAAATAAATAATTGGATAAAATCCTACGTAATAAACACAATACTTTCACCCCAACATAAATCATAATATGTCATATGTCTGTTTGCATTACTCTGCCCCCCCCCCATTGCTCTGAAAGAGATTCTAAACTCCATGAAGGAGCATGGAAAGATGATTTTTACTCTTCTTATATAACCCCCTTACCATTCTGCCTTGCAATGATCTGTCATTTTTTTTGCAACAGGTCCTATGGTTTGCAACATGGGCTATTGTACCTGTCATCTCCTTTGCTGGAGCAAGCATTTCCTATCTATTCATTTTGATTGACTCCTTTTCATCTTTCAAATCTCAGCTGAAATGTAGCTTCCTCAGAGAGGCCTGCATTGGCCACTCAATGTAACAGCATAACTTTCCATACTGTCTAATAGCACTTGGTCTCTGCTTTTGCACCACTTGCTGAAATCTATAGTTAAAATTTACTTATTCATATTGCTGCTTCTATTTTCTGTACTCTGAACTCTGTAGGGGAAACTCTATTTACATACTTTAATTATTTATCTTTTGGCTGCAGTGGGGTTTGAACTCAAGGCCTTAAGCCTGCTTGGTTGGTGTTCTACCTCTAGACCTGCTTTATGTGGGTTACTTTAGGCAGAAAGTGTGCTGAGGAAAATTTTCAAGCTACGCAAGCCCCTTCACTTTTATAGGAATTGATTATGAAGGCATTTGGAGGGCTATTTAGGTAGCACATGTTAACTGCCAACAGGCAAATCTAGAAGTTATCTTTTTTCCAGAGACAAGTCTCTAGATAGTATAAAGCTATGTTCATTTTTACTGATTGACATAATTACTGAACTAAATTTGAGAATTATAACATTTGTTTAAAATGACTGCCCTTTGCTAGGCATGGTGGTGAATTCTGTAATAAGAGCACTTGGTAGATTGAGGCAAGAAGACCATGAACTCAAATACAGCTTGGGTTATACAGAGAGAACTTTCTTAAAAACTAATAAGGAAGGGGCTGGGAAGGTGGCTCAGTGGTAGAGTGCTTGCCTTGCATGCCTGAGGCCCTGGGTTCGATTCCTCAGTACCACATAAGCAAAATGAAAAAAGCCGGAAGTGGCGCTGTGGCTCAAGTGGTAGAGTGCTGGCCTTGAGCTGAAGAGCTGAGGGACAGCGCCCAGGTCCAGAGTTCAGGCCCCATGACCGGACCCAAAAAAAAAAAAAACTAATAAGGAAATAAAAAGCAAACAAATGCTCTCTAATTTTAAGGGACAGAACAGCCATTTTAGACAATAAGCAGAAGGGACTTTCTAAACAGCCAAAAATAAAAGGTGGAGTTGTAACTCAAGTGGTGGAGTGCTAGCCATGAGCAAAACACTAAGCAAGGGTACAAGGCCCTGAGTTCAAGCTCCAGTAGAAAAACAAAACAAAACAAAAACACTAGACAAAAATATAACTGCTTTGTTTAGGAATTAGCCACACATGAATACTTACTACATGAGACAAGACCGTACTAGACAGTACAGAGTATTTTCTGGAAGTTATTAAAGTTGTAGCTGAATCAGGTCATATTTGCTTTTGTTTTCAGAGTAGACAAAATATCTAACACTGCCCATTTTCTGTCACATTAATCTTCACAGCTTTCCAGGAAAGTAAAGTAAAATATTTATTCTCATTTCACAAAAAGTATTTCAAACTCAGACAAGATTAAAAATGTATTTCATTACTCACTGAATAAATAAGTAGAAAAGAATAAAATTAATATTTATTAATATTTAATCAAATTAAATAGAGCTATGGCTCAAGTGGTAAAGCACTAGCTTTGAGCAAAAAAACCTCAAGGACAGTGACTAAGCCCTGAAGATTGGCCCCAAGATTGGCACAAAAAACAAATAAATGGGGTGGGGGTTCTCACAAGAGAGAGTAAATGCTGAAGTATTTTAGTTGTAATCACTGACCACTCTACATGTCCCAAAACAGAATCTGAGGAGTAATGAAAAATAAATCATTATCACTCATCAGAAATGAGCACTTGGTTATAAGTGAGATATTTAACTCAGTATGATGGTCTTGTCTCATGTAGTAAGTACTCCTGTGTAGCTGATTCCTATATTTGGTGGGAGCCTTACACACTTGCTTAGTGTTTTGCTCATGGCTGGCACTCCACCACTTGAATCACAACTCCACCTTTTAATTTTGGCTGTTTAGAAAGTTCCTTCTGCTTATTGTCTAAAATGACTCTTCTGTCACCTAAAATTAAAGAGTACAAGTGATGCTATCCATCATCTTTGCAATAATCTACTGATTAGAAGCAGGACAGAGTCCTGCCCATGCTCAAGAGAAGGAATGACACTAATGCATGAATAGGAGGATAAATAGATATCCAAAAGACCCCATGTTAAGAGTGGGAATAAACTAACCCCAGACTAAAGAAGCCTCTGCTAGGATGTCTCAGGTTGGCACGCCTAAGACTGTCAACCAGAGTGGAAACACTCCACTTTTCTGTAAGGGTTGGATTTTCACAGCAAGTGGATAAACCCCGAAAAGAAGGAAACTTCCAAAAGAAATAGGCGGAAAACCCACTATTTTTTCTGACTTACCCTTAGTAGTAACACTGCATCATTTCTGTGTGTTCTATTTATTGTAAGTAACTAAGAAAAGTCTACATCCAACAGAAGATAACCCTTACCACTTTTCACACTGTTAGTAGGGATTTATCAAAAAAATTGTAGGTTTCATGAAAGAGAACCCTCCCAAACGAGCACATTCCATCTAACATTCCAGTATTGTTCAGATAATTCTCTCCCAATTGATCTACAAATTGAATTCAATCACTTCGGGCATCTGTAATGGTTAGTTGGAGATAAGTCTCATGGACTTTCTTGCCCTAACTAGCTTCAAACCATGATCATCAGCCTCCTGAGTAGCTAGGATTACAGGTGTAAGCCATCAATGCTCAGCTTAAAGTTTTTAAATTTTTAAGCATTCTTTTTTATTTATTTTCTAATGACTTTACTTTTTTACTTTTTATTATTGATGAGAGTAGGATTTGAACTAAAGCCCTGGCACTTGCTAGGGAAGTGCTCTACCACTTGAGTCATGTTGTCAGTTTTTTTCCGGGGGTGGGAGGGAGAGGGTAGGGTTGTGGCAGGATCTAACTATTTGAGACTGGCCTCGAACTCAAAATCCTCTTGCCTCTCCCCAGTACAAATGAGAATATAGGTATATACCACCATGTTCAACCCTAAACTTTCTAGAATGAAACACCAGAAAATCTTTGAGACATTGAGGTAGCCAAAGATTTACAGCCAGAAGCTCATGTCTGTCATCAGTCTCAGGAGACTGAGATCCAGAGGAATGCAGTTCAAAACCAGTCAGGAGACTGGGATCTCAGGATTGCAGTTCAAAGCTAGCCCAGGTAGAAAATCTGTCTACACTTTTATCTCCAATTAATCAGCATAAAGCCAGAAGTGGAGGTATAGTTTAAGTGGTAGAGCAGCAGCATTAGGCAGAAAGGAAAGCACCCAGACCCTGAGTTTAAGCCCCAATACTGGCACAAAAATAACCAGTAAGGGGGCTGGGAAGGTGGCTCAGTGGTAGAGCGCATGCCTTGCATGCCAGAGGCCCTGGGTTCAATTCCTCAGCACCATATAAGCAAAAAAGAAAAAAGCCGGAAGTGGTGCTGTGGCTCAAGTGGTAGAGTGCTAGCCTTGAGCTGAAGAGCTGAGGGACAGCACCCAGGCCCAGAGTTCAAGCCCCACACTGGACCCAAAAAACAAAACAAAACAAAAATAACCAGTAAGAAAGGAAAGAAAGAAAGAAGAGAGAGAGAGAGAGAAAGAGAGAAAGAAAGAAAGAGACTAAAAGTGTGGCTTAAGTAGTAGCACATCAGTCAAGCAAACAAGGGCAAGGCCTTGAGTTCAGACTCTAGTACTAAAAAAAAATCAAAAAAGGTCATAAAAAGTAAAAATTAATTTGATTTAGTCAAAACTTTTTTGCTTTGTTTCAGAGTCTTACTACTAGCCCAGTGTAGCCTCACACTCACCAGCCTCTTGCCTCACCCGCATGAGTGCTGGAATTACAGACATGTGCCACCACATCCCCCTGAAAATTTAAAACTTTATCTTCCAAATACACTATTTTAAAACTGAAATTGTAAAGCATAGAATGAGAAAAATATTGGCAAGACATATATTTGACGAAGATATTTTATTCAGAATATACAACCTATTGGCAAGAAGTCAAAAAATAATTTTATTTATCCATTAGGAAGAAAATATGTCATTTGCAGAGAAATGGATGGACCTG